TCAGAGCTGGCAAGTTCTATGAACAACCTGAAGCCTGTATTGCTCCTTAGAAGTGGCATGTAGTGCTCACAGTGCCCTTTAACAAGTGCACATAGACTAAACTCTAGTTGCCTGCAAATTGCGTGTGCTTTTATAGCAAGGGACAGAAGGACTCTTCTAGTAGAGAATTTGCACTGTTTTCTCTGCTTTACACTGGTGACTGGACATCACTGGTACAACAGATAAGCTTTAAAGAGGCTACTGGGCTAGGTAAAAAGTGGCGTGCCCTTTACCTCATGACAACACACAAAATGTAGTTGGGATCTTCCCCGCTAGAAGCAGTCCGAGAAGCCTATCTGCACCTGAAACCTGTTACAGAGCTTTATTTATGCACTCTGAAGCTACATCTTTCCTACTAAATTCATCCACCTTAGGGACTGATCTGTGGCCCACAATCTAAGTGGTACAGAGACAGCTCAGGACTAGCTCCTTCTGGAGCTATGTCCACATCACAGGACACTTGGATCTGGGTTAAAGTGGTGGTCCTAGACACAGCTAAACTGAAAAACAAACATACACAAACTGACAAAATGTCTAAAATAACAGGAGGGGTGGGCTGCCGTTCAAAGTAGCCTTTTTACAGAATGATATGGAGTACGTGTTGTACATCTTGGGCTGCGGCATGAAAAAACATTAGGGTAACTGAAGGTACAAAACAAGGAGGAGGAGGAGGACAAATACCACCAAGCTTCATATAGTCTTATCCTTACAACTTGGGAGAGATTCCTGGAGGAAACTCTCCTCAAAGCCAGATCTGGGTTTTGTTTCATAGGCAAGGAGACGATTCATTCTGTAAGAAAGTGTGGGAGTGAACAAACATTCATGCAAAGTGGTCAACCAGGGGTCTAAGATCTGAGACAGAAGTGGACAGCTATGTGACCACACAGACATGCAGAGAAAAAAACAGACCCGTGGAGGGACCACATTCTCAGCCCAACTTATGCCTATTTTCCTAATGAACAGTTTGTAGGACTATTTCCTGCAGATAGATTGATAATTAAAGGCAAACACCTACTCAGACTTACGCCTTCATGCAACCACATATACTGGAGCTTAACAAAGCAGGATTCCCTCATGAAAAATAGCTCTTCTCAGGATATTGTCAGCGGTGATATTTAAATGAGCTCAGATACGAATTCAGCAAAGCATCTCAAGTATTTGCAATTAATTATCAGTATGCTCTTAATTCCATGCTAATTCAAAGCAACTTAGTACGGTTTTTCTTTAACTCACTAAACTTAAATTCAGTGGACTTTAAGCTCATACATAAGGGTAGGCATATAGTTAAGACCCAACTATTTTTTTTCTGCATATTTCCAATACTAGTTTTAGAGGGAAAGACATCCATTATCCAAACAGAAATTGTGCTTCCTCAGTAAAAGAATTAAACAGGTTACATCAAGTCTACTTATATTAGCAGTTGAACTACTTATTAGCCCAGAAAGGTACTTTTCTGGGAAGTCCAAGCTTTATTTCCCTCAGGTACTTGAATATATTTCTCCTCATGCAACTCCCAGTTTACATGTGAAGCTCTGATCATTCTAAGCTTTCAGGTCAAAAGTATTCTAATAATTCTTATCATTAGAAATATAGATTCTAATTTATAGAATTCAAAATCCTGTCTTAAGAAGGTTCACATTAAGATAATCCAAAGATAATTAACTACCATACCTTCAATAAAGTCTGTAAGTAAGTTTCGTACCAGTTACTTCCTACATAAACTTTCACAATCTGATGCAATGAGCAGACTGATATTTCTGCCGTCCAGTTTGCATCTAGAGCTGGAGCAAGAAAGGAAAGGTTACAGCTAAAACAATCGTAAGCAGTAATAATTTTGTGGTAGACAGAGAATTAGCAAGATACTGGATTTTACATCAAAATATTGTAAATAACAGTAATTCTTTGAAATAGCAAAGTAATAGAGCACTCTGCAAACTGAACTGGAACTTTCATCTTCTGCTTAGTGCTCATATATACGTGCAAGCAAAAGGCAAATCAGAATAACAGTAGACAACTCAGTCCATCCATGCTGCAATCAAAGCACCTTTCCTCAATACATTTAAAAATAATAATAGTAAGAAGGCTATATACATTAGCATAGTCATGTCTGGTATACTGAGCACGTCCTGGATGTGATCCTGGATGTGATCCTGGGCAATATGCTCTAGGTGACCCTGCTTGAACAGGGAGGTTGGACTAGATGATCTCCAGAGGTCCCTTCCAACCTAAACGATTCTGTGATTCTGTGATTCTGTTTAGGTCACCGAAGGTAGGTGTGTCTAAGTATACCAAGCCTCACGGAGTTCTTATGCACAGAGAACAGATATAATATCTTTGGATATATCTTACTTGGGGTTCAAACCACATCTTACCTTTGCGTAGAAACATAGACATGAAAAGTTTTTGCGGAAATCATTAATAGTGTAGTTCACATTACTATTTACAGTTAACAATTCCTGTGACACTGTTTTAGGAAAATCAAAATATATATGCATCCAAACGTTTTGTTTAAAATTTATTTTAAAAATTTAACATAGAGAATTTGATTCTTACAATAGCTCAGGCCTTTACAGAAGATCTACACAAGTCACACTCTTATAGAAATCATTTATAGGGCTACAGATATATAAACAGTCTCTAATATTCTCTAAACAATGGACAAACATATGCTTGGATAATGTGCAGCTGCTCTAACATGTCTATTCAGCTTCTAAAATGTACATAAAATTGAGGCATCATTTATTGTTAAAACATCTGAGTCACAGAGCTATATTTTCTAAAATGCATTATCCAACATACTACACAATCATGCCTAACAATAAGAAATTGTTGTCTCAGTTTAAGATCAGACCTTCCTCCTCAAAGGTTATAATTTCATCTAAGAATCTGTAAGAATCACTGCTTTCTACATATACATTTTCTGCATGGTGGGGCAGGGGAATACTTTGAACATCAGCCCTTTTCATATAAAGCAGAAGTGTTCTAATGAAATATGATGATAGCTCAAAACTGGAAGGATAAACATCCCATAGAGACCTTGAGGAGTGGAGGAAACTGAAATTAATGTCCCTAGGACAAAATAAGATGCCAAACGTGCACATAAACAACAGGAAATAGATCTAGAAGCCTACAAGCTGAAGGGTGAGCCAGGAGGAAAAGGGCAAGTGCTTGGACGGGAGTTAAAGCAGAGGAGTGAGCAGGACCGCTGTACAAGTTGATCACAGAGCAATTATATGCCACCAGCAGAACATGGAACTGCAAATGAGATCATAGAATCACAGAATCGTTTAGGTTGGAAGGGCCCTCTGGACATCATCTAGGCCAACCCCCCTGCTCAAGCAGGGTCACCCAGCATATTGCCCAGGATCACATCCAGACGGGTTTTGAATATCTCCAGCGAAGGAGACTCCACTACCTCTCTGGGCAACCTGTTCCAATGCTCTGTCACCCTCACAGTGAAGAAGTTTTTTCTCAGGTTCAGATGGAACTTCCTGTGGTTCAGTTTCTGCCCATTGCCTCTTGTCCTGTTGCTGGGCACCACGGAGAAGAGACTGGCCTCATCCTCTTGACACTCCCCCTTCAGATACTTGTACATGATCGCCTCTCAATCTTCTCTTCTCTTTCATCATAGGACGTATGAGAAGAGCCAATTCCAGCAGAGACAGGGTAGAATCATACAAAACGCTGGAGAAGTTTCATCTGGACTACCATGTACAGGGTGTGATTAAATTTATCTTTCCTAGAGCACGTGGTATAAGAGGAGAGGCTAAGAGAACTGGCTTTGATCAGCCTTGCGAAAAAAAGGTTAAAGGCAGGCCTTATTGCTGCTATCTGCAACTAATAGGAGCATATAGAGAAGACAAAATAAGATTATTTTCAGAGATGCATAGTGCTAGACCAAGAGACAATGGAAAAAAGTTGGAATACAGCAAATTCCAGCTAGATGTATGGATCTGTCTATTTATTTACTTACCTTGAGGTAGTCATATATTGGAACAAAGGTTCAGAAAGGCTGTAGGATCCCCATCTTTAGAGATACTCGAAACCTTCTTTGGCAAGGCCCTGAGCAACCTTATCTACTTGGACCTGCTTTGGGCAGAGCGTTGAGCTAAATGACCTCCAGAGATCCCTTCCAATTGAAATTCTATGAATATGGGGAAATTGGAATAGGTGAAAAGAAAATTTACTAGGGTAATCAAGGGAATGTGTTACCTCTCATACTAAAGAAGCCACAATAAAGATTGACAGAAAGTGTCATGATCTTTCTATAAAGGCATCAGTGGAAAAGTGGGGATAAACCAGAGTGGGAGAAGTATTTAAGTTAAAGATCACTTTTAGGCTAAGAGCAAATCTGGCTCTAAATACACTTAGATTGGGAGTTAAAAGGAGATTCTTTAGTTTAATACGAAGTGTTAACAGAACAGACTCACATCAAAAAAGTGGGAGCCTATAAAACCTAGAAATAAACGTAGCTATCATAGTAATAATAGAATAGAAATAGAAATAGACTAGAATAGAAATCAATAGAATAATAGAAACATAGATACCTTTAAAGTAGCAGATGTTCTGATGAAAAATAAGTTGGACTGTCTAAGCTTGAAGAAACTGTACTTATTATTTCAATGAACGAGATTGACAGGTTTGAGAAGTAAAGTTATCCAAAAATATGAATAGCACTACCTAAATCCAATGTAGACTTGCTCTATATTTCAGGTAGGCCTTAATGTTATTATTGTAGAGTTCAATGATCAGCAACAGCCAGTCAATAAAGCAGCTGGGTGACAGTACATCTTAGGAAAACAAACACTCTCAGATAGTGAAACCTTTGGTTTATTTTGATACTGTAATAATTCCTCAAAAGTGGGTCTAGCCAACTGATCTTTTTTATTATTTATTTTAATTCAGGAAATATTGCTCAATCTGGCTTGTAATAAAACAGTTTTTGAAAATTTTTGACTTACTGTAATCTCTGCTCTCTGCTGACACCTGTTGTTTCAGAAAGCATTTTAAAGCGTCTTTCATCGGCTCATACGTAACGTCCCTTTTGTCCAAATAAGCACAGAGTTCTTGGATTTCAGATTTATTTTCAGTAAGAGGGAGTCTGCAAGTTCCCAACCAGTTCCTATACAAAAACAGAGGAGATCACTGAACTTTTTGTTCCTTTTCTTATAATTTTCACTATTTATTGTTAACGAATAGGTGTCAGTAAATATGAATTCTTATTAAAATGCTTTTCCATCCAGGGATCTTTACTGTTAGCTTTCCATATTATTTTTGCACTGAGAACACTGAATGATCCTAATACTTTCCAATACTAACAAATAAAGCTACTGCACTGCAGCCATCAAAGAGGTGCTCTGCAATGGCTTTGAATAAAGTTGTTAATCCAGTATTTGTTCTACACTGCATTGGTCACTAGCAATAACAGCAAGTGTATACAAGATGACCTGACGATATTTTTGATCTTCCCAGTTGTCCTTCCATAGCCCTTTACAGATTGGGTATTTTGTGTTTGCGCTAAATCTAAAGTTGTTTAAAACGTGCAGAAAGTTTTTCAATTTATTGTTCATGGAAACATGTGGCTGAGCACCTAATTGCACGACAGGTTTGAATCACAACAGTCTGATCCATTGTGATCTCTTTCAGTCTTATTTTCTTATTTCAAGTCACAACAAGCAAGTGAAAGAAAACAGTCCAGTTGTTTTTAATAATGTGTATTAAAGTGTGTATTTTAGTAGCTACTTCTATGACTTACATACTGCATTTTTGTATTTACACCCTTTAAAAAAATAGTGCCTTCACATATGTTGTTTGAAAAATTAGGAGCTATTCTCTGTCACTGCAAAGATGTCTGACCTTCTCTACATTTTCATTTATTTCGGGAAATGGTTTCAATGATTCCCTAAGGAGCCATTCTCCTATAAGATAAGGGATTTTATTAAACCAGTAGACTAGTATGGTAATAAGTTTGAGCACTAATGCTAAGAATGAGGACCAAGCTGAAATTTAGCAATTAGAAGTCTAAATTCTTCACTGGAGTCTAGTCTAGTCTAGTCAAATTCATCAAGTATAGTGTAATTTTATACCATTCCATTTTTGAAATATAGATGAGTGTTAATAATTATATAAAAAACATATATCAAAGCTAAATTTGATAACACTAGTTATTCCATAACTGAATTATAGCAAGAATAAGTGCATTGAATAAAATACGTAAAACAGATTCATGCACTAGGCAGCCAATTGCAGATTCCAATACTTTGCAGAGATTTTATTTGAAGATTGAGCTGGCTGAAAGGGGAATTCCTCAGGAGGAGAACAAGAAAGCAAACTCAACCTCATGAACTGAATGCAAATTATGTCTTGGAAAGCCATACTTGACGTGCTGAAAGAGGACTCCATTCCCAGAGATGTACAGCTTGTTTCTGTCTAAATTACTTCCAACGGAGAGCTGTCCCAGTGCTGAATCTGGATATTTGACCAGAAGACCAAGTGCCATGACATACAGTGGGGCTCGCACAGGTACCTCAGTCACCTGCAGTTTGTTTCCTGAGCCCTCTGCAGACTCTTCAAGGTTAGAGGACAACACAGAACAGTTGCCTACAAAAAAAAAAAAAAAAAGGATATGCACAGATATATTGTGACCTGAGAAAGATTAATAATTATTCTGATATTTTCCACTATTTTCAATGTATACAGAAATCAATTGATAAGACTACTTAGCTCAAAGCGTTGACTGTATTAATAACATTTCTGATTCAAACACTCAGTCTCATAAAGTAACATTAAAACTAATCCATAATAGGAAGAAAATATATAGTTATGTTCATCATATTACCTCTGTAGATCTTCACAGCATCTGCAAGCTTAGGTATTCCCAAAATTACAACTTCTTCCTCCAAAACATCTATGTTGGAGAAATCATCAGGCAACAAAATCTCCTCTGAGCGAAGAAAATTAACTTGAAAATAAGGACAAAACACAGAAAGTGTGTCTTGATGTCATCTGCCCAGCACTCAAGTTTAGCAAAAATGGGTTCTTATGATTTCCTTCAGCATTACTGTTCACTAGCATATGTAACAGATAATAAATATAAACCAGGAGTTACTTTGTCTTTGAAGATGAAATCCTGAAAACAGGGTTTATGCTTCCAGCTTTGAAAGCTCCTAGCTTTCAAAGGCCAGTTGTAGCCTAAATGGTACAGAAGACAAGGGTAAGCAAAGTATACCTCAGTTAGGTTAGTTTTGCTTGTTACAGAATCCCAAGAAATTCAAACAAGAGGTTCCCTGTTTGTTTGGCTGGGTTTTTTTCCCCAAAGCACAGTCCCACCCCAATGTGTATTTAAACATGTGATTTCCCACATGCTAACACTAGAGTTTATCAATAAGACTAGCAGGGCAAGACTACAGCAATTTCACGCTATCTCATCTTAACTGAGTCCACATAGGATGAAATGCTATGTTGATGGAAACCTGGATGGAAACCTGTTGATGGAAACTATGGAAACCTGACAAATTTTTGAGAGGTATTTATCTTTTTTGAGGCTGGAAGAACATCTCATGAATGAAATATGGGGTTATTTTACTACTGAAGATATAAGATCAAATAGAGATTTACTGTTACTGTGCAAGTTTTATCTACCTTCATTACCCATTGCCAACAGCATTTCTGGTCCTTGATGTCAGAACCATTCATGTATTTTAGTTTAGAAAACCATTGGACATCACATCCTCCTAGGTAAACCCAGGAAATGTGGCTTGGATGAGTGGGATGGACCGTGAGGTGGATTGAGAACAAGCTGGACGGCAGAGCTCAGAGGACTGCGGTCAGTAGCGCAGTCTGGTTGGAGGCCTGTAGCTAGCAGTGTTCCCCCTAGGGGTCAGTACTGCGCCCAGTCTTGTTCGATGTATTCATCAGTGACCTGGATGAAGGCACAGAGTGCACCCTCTGCAAGTTTGCTGATGATACTAAACTGGGGAGGAGTGGCTGACACACCAGAAGCCTGTGCTGCCATTCAGAGGCACTGGACAGGCAGGAGAGTTGGGTGGAGAGGAACCTCTGGAAGTCCAACAAAGGCAAGTGCAGGGTCCTGCACCCGGGGAGGAAGAACCCCAAGCACCAGCAGAGGCTGGGGGTTGACCTGCTGGAAAGCAGCTCTGCCGAGAAGGACCTGGGAGTCCTGGTGGATGACAAGTTGAGCATGAGCCAGCAATGTGCCCTTGTGGCCAAGGCGGCCAACGGTCTCCTGGGGTGCATTAGGCAGAGTGTTGCCAGCAGGTCGAGGGAGGTGATCCTGCCCCTCTCCTCAGCCCTGGGGAGGCCACCTCTGGAGTACTGTGTCCAGTTCTGGGCTCCCCACTACAAGAGAGACATGGCACTACTGGAGAGAGTCCAGCAGAGGGCTACAAAGATGAGGAGGGGACTGGAGCATCTCTCCTGTGAAGAAAGGCTGCGAGAGCTGGGCCTGTGGAGCCTGCAGAAGAGAAGCCTGAGAGGCGATCTCATCAATGTCTACAAGTATCTGAAGTGGGGGGGTGTCGAGAGGATGGGGCCAGACTCTTCTCCGTGGTGCCCAGTGACAGGACAAGAGGCAACGGGTACCAACTGAAACACAGGAAGTTCCATCTGAACATGAGGAAAAACTTCTTGACTGTGAGGGTGACAGAGCACTGGACCAGGTTGCCCAGAGAGGTTGTGGAGTCTCCTTCGCTGGAGATATTCAAAACCTGTCTGGACGTGATCCTGGGCAATATGCTCTAGAGGACCCTGCTTGAGCAGGGGGGTTGGACTAGATGATCTGCAGAGGTCCCTTCCAACCTCAATCATTCTGTGATTCTATGGATTAATAAAACACAAATAAGTACGGCCAGTGTCCCCACTGCCCCAGGAGAGGGTTCTACCCACTAAGTTACATGGTGAGACATCCTTGTTCGCTCTTTCTTGCATTACGGTGAACAATGGTCCAGGTAAAATGGAAGATACGTAAGGCACCTACTGCCAGATTATACTGTAGTCTGATTGCTGAGGCATCCTCCCATGGTTTAAAACCAGGCAATGGTAAAAGAATTCAGCAGGGCTTAGCACTCAGTTGCTATGCAAAAATTCATTGCCACTTTAAAAGCAGCAAACTTGCTTAATTACATGTCTCCCTGTCAAGACGAGACAGGACTCCACGCTGTGTCTTGGCAGGAAGTAAACCTCTTGATTAGCTCTAGGAATCTTCTTATGCACTATCTGAATTTTTGGGGTTCATCATTTAGAGGCATCTTGCTTTATCTGCTGAGATAGAAGGAGACTAGACACCTAACTTCCTCACTTTGAATCACTCTGTTGCAGTCAGGTACCTAATTTTAGATATTGTGACATGAACACTGGAGGACACTTGAGCGCTTGGTTCTTGATTAACAGGACAGTAAAACCAGCAGATGGCAAAACCAAAACTGAAGAAAGATTCTGATCTTTAAAGAAGTGCTATTGAAGATAGACAGAAATAGCTTAATACCAAAAATGACATATCAGAATAAAACCAGCTATTGAGAAATGGAAGTAGATTAAAATCATTTGCTTCCATTTTGGCAAATGCTGTTCACAAAAAAGAAGTACAGTTTACCTATGAAGCGGAATTCACTGCAGTCACACTCAATCAGAGCTGCATTCTCAAGGAGCCACAGCAAATTGTCATCATTAACTAGTACAGGATATTTTTCCACCAAATCTAGTGGCAAAAAACAGTAATTCACTTCCTCTTCTGTATCTAGTAACGGTGTATCCATTAGCCCTAGGGGAGCTCTTTCATGTAATCCTTGGGGAAGAAAATTAGTGCAAAATCAATATATAAATACAGAAAAATGAAATTAACAGATACACTTTGGAGAGCTGAATCTAGTACAGAAAAGCCTGCGTTAATTTTTTGCAATATCTAACGTTCCCCAGCAGACGAAGTCTTATCTCTAAGTGCCAACCCCATGCATACGAATAAACAGACACCTGGGAACTATGTGCAAAAATAGGGCAATATATTAAAATCCTTCCAATTTTAGGGCAATATCCAAAAATTCTCGACTGGTCTGAACACGAGTGAGCACCAACAGCTATAGCTTACACACCAAAGGTACCTAAGTAAAACAAGTATTCACTGAACTAGCCATACCCTGTGAAGGGAGGTGGGACGTTTACCTGTGGAAGCTGGACTTTTAAGAGGAATCTCTGATGGCTTGCTGATACATTTTCGTGTTCTCCAGTAATTCAGAGATGCTCTTTCAGCTATTGGTATATCCGCATGTCGGACACGTAAATTATGTTTCCCCTCCTTCAAGTTATCTAAAGTCTGTTAAGGTACATAAAATTTTTCAATTTACTACTTCAATTCAAATAATTAATCCAAAAATTAAAAATAGCCATGGGAAAAGTCTAATCCAGGTATTCAGTACTTCACACCTATTAAAAAATGCCATGGAATATTGTATACAAGGAGACAACAACACACTTAACAGATCTCAGAGAACTTTGCAACAGCTTTTACAGATGGTAACAGATTCATGCTCAAAATGATCTTGCTTCAAGAACAGACACAGTACCCCTATTTCAGCTAATCTATGTTTAGATCTTTATGATTTTTGATGGAATTAATTGCTCTCCAGAGACCCCTTCCCCTTTCCAGTAGTTATTAAAATAGTTTAGGTGTTTGACTTATTTTAGATTCCTTATTTTTAGGTACCTAAAGGTAACTAGAATTAATTTGTGGTGAATATTTACAGGAATGTGTAATAAAACTTGAGCCATTCATATATTTCAAAAAACACCAAACATTTTTGCATCATTTGAGATCTAATAACACTTATTTGTATTCTAGCTCTTGAATTCAGCACACGCTATAGTGGCATGCTTAAAAGCAGACAACAATAGAAATAGCCAAAAACCCAACACAAAGCCTGAGAGACCTGTTGGGCTCTTTTTAACATCTTTACAATAAGCAGTAAGAACTCAATGATTAGAAAGAGGAACAGATGTTTGGCTCAATGATAACAATGATTAATAGTCTACATTTGCTAATCTTTTAACAAATGATATATAAATTATTTTAATCTTTGAACAAATGGTTACGTACTATTGCAGGAAATTATCTACAGAGTACCTTTAGAGCCATGATTACGACTTCTAAAATACACATGCAAAATACGTTCATGAACTGATAAGGTTGCACTGACAAATATTTAAAAGCCAGAAAAGAATTTAAGCTCTGTGAAATGTGTTCCTGGCCACACCACAATAGTCTCATGATATGTGATCAGACACTGTTACTACAATAGATTAATGAGTTTTGGTTGTTTTTCCTCTCCAACCTATTTGGAGATGTCACATCTTTAAACACAGTTCTAAAAAAAAAATCCACATTAACATTTTGGCTAAAAATATCAAGCATCATAACACTGTTGAGACGATTCCACAAAAAGTATTAGAAATACTCCAAAAATCAGAGTTTAGATTAAACCTAGAAGAATTGCAGACATATATGAAAATACACATTTCATCCATCCAGGAAATACGAACTCTACCTTGCACTGTAATTAGCAAAATTAGCCAAATAGCAAAGTAAGTAGTTCTTAAAGATGTACATTTAACAATTCTGTTCACGATACCACAAAGTAGGAGAGAAGGAACTGCAGTTTCCCACTTGACAGGATAGTGAATTCAGTGATGTCCCACTTGGACCAATCGTTTTCAGTCAGACTGAACCCTTTCAAGCAACAGCAGAAACGGTAATCATACCTTTTGCAGGTTAGCAGGCTCATATTCAAAAGACTGGTCAGTATAATTGCCACAAAGTAATAAGCATAACTGTTGGCAGATAAAAGCCTCTGCTTGGTTTAAATTTAGTAAAAGCAAGTAATGACTGCTGAACGACCTCTGACAGGTCAAATATCAAATTTGGAATATTTTCTGTACTCACCAATTGTGACAGATGGGTTGAATGTGGAAATTAATTGCCTGGATACCTATCCCACGTATTGATAAGGTTATCTACGCAAACTCCTTGACATCCTTTTACAGCCAGTATTATCTAGGAATGAACAGAGTCTATAGAAGAGTCATAGAGAATATCTCATTTTACCTGTAATAAAGGTGTCAGTTGCAAAATTAATGCTTGCTCATACAATAAATTCAATTCAGCACAGCTGGAAAAAGGTAATTTTGAAGTCTGCAGGTAATAATGAAGGTGTCTAAATGTAAATCCATCTTGGTCAATAAATAACCTTAGATTTTCAGACTGATCTCGTACAGAGGCTTCTTTCCACAGCAGAGACTCAGGAAACTGAGCAACTTTACTTTTGGGAATTGAGAAATGCCAGCCACCAACATTAAAATTAATTGACGCTTCTTCTGCAGATTCACTAATGTTCCCTGGTTCCTTGAAACAGAAAAGGAAAATCATATCAAGAGGCAAGAATGAACCTGCAAATTCTGAAACAACAGGCTATTTTTTTTAAAAAATCCATTGGACTTTGCATTTTATTTTCCATTCTGTGGCAGCATATATACCACACATTTTGCACCATCTTGCCAAAAAATAAAGTATGGGCAAATTACCTACTGTATTACATTCCTATTCATTTGTGCATTCAAATCCCTTATTAAATAAGTGTCTACAGTCATGGGTCATAACAAGTCAGCAAATAAATCTATAAATATTGTTTTGCATAATATATACCCAGAGTTAAACCTGGGAACAAACTGGGCTACATGATACTGAATTTGTTACCAGAGAAAGGTTAAATAAAATATGAAGAATATGTTCTTTAAATACTTAAATAAAATGGACCATGCTTCAGATAGAAAGCTTTGATTGAGAAAAAAAGGCTTGATTGTTATAACTTGTATAAGGGTTTGACACAACTGCCACCTAGTTAGCTTCAGTGATTTTGTTATGACAAGACAATAAGAAAACATATGGCAATAAAATATAAGTAAATGCCATATACCATCTCACACAATTCTGAGTAGCCTGCTGACACACCATTCTATTAAAATATTTTGTTACTATTTTGAGATGTAGATATTTATTACTATGGGGGGTCACAATCCCCTTGACAAGACAGGATAGAAAAAAATTGTCTGTGGTGAAAGGATGCTTGGAAAACACATACGTGGCGGTCAGCTAAGCAGATATAAAATTCACCTAAAGCAGGATAAGAACACATAGTTAAGGCCTGCGGCCACACAATTTTTTCATGCAATGTATCAAACTGAGATGTGCGTTACCCTCTGGCCCATTAAAATGGACTGAAAAGTCAATTCAGGCCTGAAAACAAAAAAGATTGATTACCTTAGCCACAGACGCCAACCTCAAAAAGCAAGGAGGCAGAAGTTGTATTGACAGTAGAGAACATAATCCTTGCAACAGAAAAAATGGATGGAAGATGATGCATGATGCTTCAAACGTTATTTAGACCAGGTCACACACAAGTAACTACAGAGAATGAAGTCCAAAGGAAATGTGGGAAAGGATAGGAAAAATAACTCTCAGCGAATGTACAAATTGAACTTTGTAGCCTTTTGAGAGTTCATAATCCAAACTGACATGGAGAAGTTGCTGCTAGTGGTCAGCCCTGATGATAGAGAACTACAATTACAGTGCCCTTAAAGTTTTCTTAGCCTTGATTTTTTCAAAGGTATTCTCATCACTGGCACTACCTAGTAGTTTCAACCACAGATCAAATATCTGAATATATAACATGAAAAAAACTGCTCCTGCAAGAAAGATGAAAAATAATTTCACAGATACTGAAAGCTTGACACTTCCAAGGCTCATCTCCAAATTTGAGGTGGGTGGGGAAAGGAAGCAGCCGTGGAACTCTGGTCCTTTATGCCTTCTTTCTTTCTTTAATAAAAAAAGCAGGGATAAGGAGAAATGGGACAAGAACCAAAGGCAATGACCAGGAGAAAAACCACATGCCATGCCAAGTACTGCTTCTTCTGCTCTCTGCTTTTAAAGGTGCATACAGACGCATGCCACCAAAACCGCTCACTAGTCCTGCTGCTCGAAGGAAATCACTTCCAGAAATGCTCAGGACAAGCCATTAGCTCCTACGTCTTGGGCTGCAATTTCACGGGTGCCGTGGAGCGGAGCGAACAGCCCGCGGCTGCAGAAAGGGCAAGAGGTCTTATTGCTTCTCCCAGCCCCTGCTCCTGCTCTCAGCCACAGCTCTCGCCTGCCCGCGTCCTTCGCGTGGGCTCCGATGCCCAACTGGACATCAGGCTGATTTAACGCACTAAAATAGCGGGAAATGACCCATTTGGTGGGCTGCTATAGTTTTCTTCCATTTTCGTGAGCAAACTCAGCTCCTAAAACCTGCAGAGCTAGCACAAAATGGACCACAGGGGCACGTGGCAGCAGGGAGGCAAAGACCCTGAACTTCTTGAGGAGCCCTTCTGCAGCACTCACTGCCTTGGGCTCAAGCATCTTCTTGCTTCCTGTTTTCCTTACAGAGGGCAAACTGCTCCTTCCAGGCAGCCTACAAGAGAGGCAGCCCACACAGAGGGCTTCTCCCCAGCTCCTGACCGGCTGGCAGCCAGACACGCGTGTGGCGGCAGGCTGAGCGCGCGCCCCGCGTACCAGGCCAGCGCGCCGAGCGAGGCAGCCCCGCT